ATTTTTTTTTTTTTTCCCAAAGCCTGGAAAAAGAAGTGCAGGATCATCAGGGAGCTCCCACTTTCCTGCCAATGTCAGGACGAGGTGAGGGGTTGAGGATGCATAAGCTGAACCCCTCCCAAGAGCATCCTTACCTGGGAGCTGCATCATCCCTAGGGAGATCCCTTGGGCCCTACTTGGATGGGAATGCTTCTGTCAGCTCTGGAGCCACAGCTGTATCCTGAAACAGAGGTATTCTGAATGCTAATTGTTCCCAGTTAAGAACAGAACTTGGATACTTATCAGCACATGGTACCAGCCCTAATGATTTTCCCAAGATGGCTGGGAATGGGAGCAGTGGAGCTGGGGAAGGCTCCTGTTGTTGGCATTTGCCCTGAGAGGGGAGATTTGTGTCTATACTGCTTCCAGGGAAAGGGAAAACATGCTTTGGGCTCCCCTGGGCTTTCATAACAGCTCCTCAGGGGATGGAGCAGAGGTGTGGAGGTCCCCAGGGACCCCAGTGCTCCATAGCAATAGCGCAAGACCTGGCCCGGTGTCCCCCCCACCTCCCCCCGCTGTGATTGGCTGTCTTAGGGTATCCCAAAAGTAGCTGGGGCCAGGGCTGAGATAGCACAACCCCACAGCAGCCCCAGCATGAGATATTCCCAGCTGGGCTGAGGACATTGAGTGAGGACACTGGGGGCTGCATGGCCCTGCAAAACCACCCAAATATGGCAAACAACTGAGCCCAGAGCTTGACTGGGCTGTGAGTGCCCTTCAAGGAACTCAGGCAAGAGAAAAGCAGAGATGTTTCCCCTGGATCCCAAGGCTGAGCCGGGCTGGATGCTCTGCATGTGATACCACCCTCACTGCTTCTGCAGCTCACAGAATTTTCAAAGAGATTTTCTCAAAGCTGGAGGAAAAAGCCTTATGGAAGCTGCAAAGTCATGAAAAGCAGCAACACAAGATGGCAATATGGGGGTCCAGTGGCACCCAATGCCCTCAAACCCACTCAAGAGAGAGCAAGCTGCCAAAACCTGACAGATGCTGGAAATGCTTTCAGCACACATGGGAATCCCTAGGGCTGGGTCCCAATTCTGCTAGAGGGGTTTGCACCCGGAAACACCATCTGAGGGCACTGGGAGCCTCTGCTCTGCTTGGGGGGATCCCCTTGGTGATCACATTGCTGGGGAGGTGAGGTACCCCAAATCACCCTGTAAGCAACAGCCGCTTCTTCCATTACCCAGCCAGCAGTGCCAGCACACTGGGGAAGAAAGGAATTTCTGTGTAAATCCCATTTACTGTTGGGCTTCTCACTTCCCACCCAGTAGACAATCCCAGCCCTCAGAGTAGCACTGCACGAAGGGGCAGTTTGATGTATTTTTGGAAGGAGAGGAAAAAAAAAGCCCTGTCTAAAAAGAGCCTCTTTCAGCTAATAATGAAGTGAATATTATATTAAGAGTGAAAACATATTCAGGGGAACTTACAGAGGGAGACAGAAAACCTTTTCATAACACCCTGGCCACAAACACAACTGCCAATTAAAGCAGCTTCGCTCTCTGGCTGGTGCCAACACAAACGAGGGGCCAGGAGTGGAGCGTGGAGCTGGCGCGGTCTGGGGCCGGCTGGGCTCGCCTGCGGCTGGCAGCACCAAGGAGCTCCTGCTTCCATGTCTTCCAGGGGCAGCCATTGGAACAAAAAGATCCGAGTCCCTTGTCCTTACCTGGGGGAACGGGTGCCCAGTGAGGCAAGGGACTCCGGTGCCATGGGGGCCCTTGGTCCCTGTCCCAGCCCAGAACAGGGTGCCCAGTGACTCAAGGGGCTCCAGAATCCCAGGGAGTCCTCTGCCCCTATATCAATCCAGGGGATCCAGTGCCACAGGGGTCCGTGGTCCCTGCCTGCAGCCTCCTCTCTGCCCTGTCAGCAGCACAGGGATGGTGGCAGGAGCCTGAGCCCCCAAGTCCCCCCCAAGATCAGCAGGATTGCTCCTGGCCCAGGGGAGGGTACTGAGCACCCACCCAGGCTGAGCTGATAGGACGAGCATCCCCACACGTACCAGGAAGGTTTGGGGAGATGCTGCATTTCCCAGTGCAGCACTTTGTGCCTTGGAGGAAACCTGTGACCAGCCTACATCATAACAGGAGGTGCCACAACGTGGAGCACCTTCCAGCACTCCTATTTCACATGCCCTGGATGTCTCAGCACAGGTTTAGCACAGCCATTTCATGTGTTTTGGTTGCTTGCCAGCAGTCTCAGCTCACCCTTGCCCCTGGCAGAGCCCACACCATAGGGGCCACAAGGACACCCATCCACACTCTCCAGGCTTTCTGCACCAGGTGCCAGTGGAGGAAACAGGCTTGGAGTGGGATCTCACTGCCCTTATGTGCTCTTGGGGGTCAGTGGTGTGCAGGGGAGGACAACCTGATGGGAGATGCTCAGGTGACACCCAGGGGTTGTGATTCACACTTCAAAGAGGCTTTATCTTTGCAGCCCAAGGATCTGCTGGATTGGTGGGTTGAGGGTGCATGACATTTCAGGTTTGGATTAACAGCCATGCCAGGAAAACTTCACCTGAGATCAGATAATCTTGGAATTGAGCAAACCCAGCACAGCTGCAGAGCTGCAGGTTGACATTTGATAAACCCAAACTGGAAATACAAGACCACTGCTGAGCTGGGACCAACATTTGGAACAGCCTGTCCAGGGAATACATTGAAGATGCTTGTCAAAAACTATTTCATGGAGGGGGGCAAAGGGAAACATTTTGGCCAAAATTAAAAATTCCAGTAGGAAACTTTTCTCTGATTCAGTGTTTTTTGACTACCACCCTGAAAGCGTGGCTCTCTGTAGAGATTTTTGTCTCTTTTTCTCAAGGACTAGTATTTTGGCTTTAATGCCAAGTCAGGATCCAAACACACCTGTTTTGCCCAGGGGCTAAGAGATTGTATTTCCTCCCTTAATAATGAAAAAGAAGGAAGGAAGGGAGAAAGGAAGGGAGAAAGGAGGGGAATAAAAAGGGGGAAAAAAGGAAAAAAAATAAAGTAGTTTTTCGACATAATTTGGTAAAGAAAAATGCACTTCAGCAAGACCTACCTCACTGTGGGAAGTCTCCAACAGCAACAAACTGCCTGTCAACCTGCCCGTCAACAGACTCTGGGTGAAGTACAATTAACCAGCATGGCCTGGGTGGCAGGGAAGGGTGGCTGCTGTTCCTACCATGTGTGCTGCTAGCAGCACGACTGGAGTGGCTCTTCCAGAGGCTTGGAAAGCTTCTCACTGTGCCACAGCAGTCACACCCCTCCTACACTTCCGGTTTAGCAGATGAAACATCTTTCTTAATGGGGTCTGTCCCCACAGTTTGGGGTCCAGGAGATCTTGCCTTTCCAAGGTCATTAGTGGACAGTGATGTGCCAAGTCTCCACTTGTGGATCCAGCTGCCCACAATCTCTTGACCCAAGGGCTGGCAGGGAAGTGCCAGAATAGCCCTTTCAGGGAACTCCTGGGAGGCACAGCTGTCCCATTCTAGGAAACTTGCTGTGTTTATGTCTTCAGAACTATCTTATCCCAGGAAGCACAAAGTTATCTGCTTCTTGTAGGGAAGAGGCATCAACTCCCACTCACAGTTACTATGAAATTTACACAGAGAAAGACAGATATCCAGATTTAAAGGCCCTCAGAAAGGAGTCCCAAACACCGCTGGGAAGGAGGCATTGCCATCTAGTGTCAGGCTAAGAAAGGGCTCAGGGAGACACTGGCCCTGCAGCAGGAGCTGAACTGGATAATTCCAGTGGGTCCCTTCAGCTTAGGATATTCCATGCTTCTACAATTATTCTCTTAGTGCCAGCCCAACCTCTGCTGACTGGAGATATGGTTTTAGACCCTTCTGCAAAAGAGCAAGGCCAAGAAGATGGACAGATGAGGCCATCTGTGATACATGGATGGCTGGGAAGCCCTGGCTGATATGGCTGTGGAAGTCAGAATCATGGAATAGTTTGGGTTGGGAGGGACCTTAAAGCTCATCTTGTTTCACCCCCTGCCATGGGCAGAGACACCTTTCACTAGACCAGGGTGCTCTTAGCCCCAGCCAACCCGGCCTTGGGCACTGCCAGGGATCCAGGGGCAGCCACAGCTGCTCTGGGCACCCTGTGCCAAGGCCTCAATGTTCACAGGGAAGAATTTCTTCGCACCATCCCATCTAACCCTGCCCTCTGTCAGCAGGAAGCCATTGCCCCTTGTCTTGTTACTCCAGCCACTTGTCCAAAGTCCTTGTCCAGCTCTCTTGGAGCCTCTTTACACAGAGGAATGGGCTCTAAAGTCTTCCTGGAGCCTTCTCCAGGTGAACATCCCCAGGTCTCCCAGCCTGGCTCCAGAGCAGAGGGGCTCCAGCTCTCAGAGCATCTCTGACTCTCTGGATTTATTCAATACCAGCCACAGCCCCATGAGTGCACACGGAGTTTGGAGTTTGCTTCTGGAGTTTGCTCCAAAGCTGGTATTATTCAGCAATTTTAGATCTAGCATCAACATTCACAGGAACGTTCAGCCAAAACAAAGAGTACAACAACCAGTCACCCATGAAGGGAGCCAGCTCTACAGACCCCATTCCAAATTCCAGCTCCTTTCAGGCATCAATCACTCTTGCAATCACTTTTATTTGTGCAATACATTGGCACAAGTCCTGCCAGCTTTAATGTCCAGGTTGGTTTATTTCCTCAGAACAAAAATATCAAACATTTTTTTTACGAACAACCTGTGTAAACAGAAAACTTCATGGCATCCTCCTCCCCCTTACAAATTTCCTGAAAGCAGCCTGGCATCTATCTGCAAGAGGCAGGACATCAGGAAAGAGTTTTCTTCAAACAGTGTGCATGGGAGAAGAGAAGGAATTTACACAGACCCATTCCTCTCTCCAACAGCACGGATTTAATTATTCTGGAAACTGCCTCAAAACACAGCAAACAAACCAAACTTCAGGAAAATCAGGTTGTGTATAAACACTGAACCTTCACTTCAGTCTCTTGAAGTAATGCAGTGCTCCTGCCCCTTTTCCCAAATCTTGTATGTGATGCTGAGATCTCCATGTGCCAAAAGGCGGACAGCTGCAACAGTCCTAGGATGACAAAGTATCACAGTCAGTGTTTCTCCAGCGTCACCTGCACAGTTTATTGAATGTCAGCTCTCAATGATCCATGGTTACCAGCACACACCTCCAGTGACCCTGAAAGAAACACCTAGAATTCCACAGATTAGCACAAATGGAACAAACACAGTAAAATCCCCTTAAATCCATTCAACTTCCTCATGAAAGACTTGGAGAAAACAGAGTATTAAGTGACAAGAACTAAAAACAATCCAGGCCCTCAGGCAAAGCCCCAAAGCACTCCTTGGGCCACCTCCCTTCCTATGCAGGGTCATCCATGCTTCCCGTCACTTAGACTTTTCCTGGTGCTGGGAAACTGAAGCCTGGATACTTACTCTGCCTTTGGGAGAAAGGTGAATCTTGTATGACACACAGGAATTTCTCCTCAACCCAGATTTCTATTGTTTTTCCCCATATTTCCCTGCCCCCAGCCCCTTCCTGTTGCAGGACAGGAACACTGGAAGGCTTGGCCATCTGGCTGCATCCCAGCAATGGATCACGGAGCACCCCCAGCACTTTGGGCAATTGTTTACCTCACCCCATCACTTGCAAGTTGGGTCCTTAACAGTCTTGAAGCCCTGGCAAGGGAAATGACAATTTCCACATCCAGCAAAACCTCTTTACTTCATCTCAGCCTCCACCCATATCTCCCCCTTCTTTAGGGTAACCAGAAGGAAATTCATATCTTGGTGCAGTATCAGCTTGGTCTGGGTAAGAACCAGGACTGTTTTTAAGTGGTGATTCCTCCCTCCTCAGCTCTAAATTTGAAAGGGGAACCTCTGGTTACTGATCAGGACTTGGCTCACCTACCTCACCTTCTAATGTCTTCACTGACCTTGTTGCCAAAAGCTCACCTGCTCCTCCAGTGCCTCTCCCAGGTGGGCTTTCCCTCTGCTCCTACAGAAGCAGCACCTTCCTCTCCCTGGTCCTCAGACAGAATCAGCACCTTCCCCTGTGTCTGGTGCCACAGGTCATATCCTGCTCTCCTTGATGTAGCTGCAAGTGGCTCCTCTCAAATACCAACACAGAAAAACTCCTACTGGAAGTATTTCCCCAATTTGTGAGCACAAAAGACACCAAAATACTGTTGGAACATAAGCCTTGTCCCACTCCCATCCACAGGATTACCAGCAGAAGGAAAAACAGAATAAATGAAAACCAAAGAAAATCCTTAGAAACCTTTCCCCAGTATCTGCCTCCTACAGCAGCTCTGAGTATCAAAAGACACCACCCAAAAGGTGCATGACCTGCTCACAGCTCAGGAACACCAGGAGCCCAAACCCATTTTTATACTCTTCCAGCATCTGCATGCCACCACAGCTGACCCAGCCAGCTCAGCTGCAGTGGCCATTCCAGCACACGTAAATCAAATTACTGGTAGCAAAATAGGAAAGCCTGTTCCTTAGAGGATATTGAGTTACAGGCTGCTAACCAGGAGGCAAAAAAAAAAACAAAAACAAAAACAAACAAACAAACAAAAAAAAACCCAAAAAACAAACAAACAAAAAACAAACAAACAAACAAACAAACAAAAAAACAAGAACTGTGAGGGAAATAGCTTCTTTACATTCTTTACAGACTAAAAGAGGAGAAGATGAAGCATCACATGACGCTCAAAATCCACACCTCATTCATTATACATCCTTGAAAGGCACCACAGGATCACAGGATAACTGGGGCTTTGAGGAAAATCAAGACTTTCCAGCCCACCCCTAATGACTCATCTCCCTCTGATGACCCTGGAGCAGTGGGATCATCAGTCCATGGGCTCAGAGCCACACAGAACCTATGACCAAGGGCCACCCTGCCAGAAAACTGGGCCTGAGTCAGCACAAAGTGCCTCCTACAAGGGTTGTCCCAAATTTAAAGTTAAGGATAATAAAAGCATAAATGAGTTGAGGAATTTTTAATACTGTCAGAAACACAGGAATGAGACTTCCAGTCTACCACAAACGGGAAGTTAGTGCACTCACCAAATCCCATGCTACAACCTCGTGTAATAGGCCCCCTTGTACTGCCAAACCTTCCAAAACTTTGGGGGTACACAAGGTTCCTGACACACAAAGGTATCAGTTGTCAGTCCAGGCTGGCAGCACTTTCCAGGAAAAGAGGGAAAGGAAGCCCATAAAGGACACTTCAGCTGATCTTCTCATTGAAAATGAATTAGAGGGAGAAAAACATAAATAATTTCTCCAGTTCACGGCAGAAAGTTCTTTCAACCAGAAGAAGGAAAGAAAGGCTTCAAGTGGGAGAAAGGAATCCTTATTCTTGGATGTGCTACAGTGTTCTCTGTATTGTTCAACTAAAGCACCCTTGCTCCTCCTAAAATACAACTGACCTCCACTCTGCTACTTGTCAGTCTAATCCCAACCCCACACAGCAGTTCCTCCACATGTTCCCAAAAGGTATACTTCAAAGCTGATCACTTGGTGTTCCCACCAGCATTTAGCTGGGGTGGGGGTGTCTAATTTGGAACGAGCCTACAGCTAACTGAAGCTTCTTGTACAGGAAAAAAAAGGATCAGACCAAGAGGTTTCTGGTTTCACAGCTGCTATTTGAAGTAATTAAGTCTTTACATGCAGCTAATTAAAAAAAATATTCAAACTGAAATCCTAAAGCCATTTCAGGGAGTGTTTGATCAGTTTATCTCTTTCATTTCCACCAAATGGCTCCACAATCAGAAGAGAAGTAGAGGGGAATCACAGGACCCTGCAGACAGAGCAGCTGGATAAGGTTCAATACCAGTGCTGCTCCTGCATGGAGGAGAACAGCACACTCCAACCAGAGCCCTGCTCCAAGGTTTTTTTCCTTCACTACAGCAGATTGGCAGCAACTCAGCCATGAAATTCAGCAAGGCACATTCAGATTTCAAAGGTCACACACAAGCCTGTTGGTCTCAGCTATTTTAACTCATCCTTTGGAACTACAAAGCTGATCATCAATTCATAGGGAGTAACACACCAGGTCACGGGTCATTTATAATCATAATTATATCACCTTTACTCTGCATTAAAGCCACAATTAACAGTTAATGCTTAAGTAAGGCTATACAAATTTTTAAGCTGCTTTTCTGCATAAAAAACTGCAGGTGCATCTTCCCCAGCTCCCCCTCTTCTGCCTCCATCTCTAGAAAGGCTGCAGGGAGGCACCAAACACAGCAGATAAAGTTCCTGTCAAAACGCGAGGAAACTGGAAAACTCAGAACTTTGTGCACTTAACCATGGTTTCTGCTAGTTCAGCCCTCACAGCCCCCATGCCTTGAGGCAGTAGCTCCCAGAGTGCTGCACTGGGATAACCCTCAGTGAGAAGAATGCTCCTCAGGGCAAGTATCCAAGAAATCGGGTTGGTGGTGGCAGTCTGGAAAGCTTTCGCATCTCAGAAAAGTGACCACAAACGACATTCACAGAAATGCAGCCTCCCCTCGTAGGGGAAACAGAACATCTCCTCTTCAGTGCTTCTGTTCAGATCTAAATGGGATTCACAACTGAGCACGGAGAATAAAGGAAGGGAAGTTGTGACTCAGTAGCCAGAAGGATAAAGCACATCCTAACACTGCAGCTCCACATGAGCTTGGCTGGGAAAGCAGATGTTATGTGCACACATCAGCAAAGAGCCAAAACCATGAACACCAACTGCCTGAGAAGTGCTCTTCACTCAGAGCCTGACCAGTCCCACAGGCATTGACACTCAGGAGAAAAACCACTGCAACCAGGAGGGAACAATCTCATGGACTCCATGAGAGGTTCCTAATGCTGCAGTGCTCCAGAGCGCTAAGATGAAATTCCAGCAGCACCAGCGTGCTCTCAGCAGCTGATAACATTAGGTGCTGGGCAATCCACCCTGACACCAGGAGAGGAACAGCTATTTACAACACCAGCCTGTCTCGATTTATCTGGGCATGAGGCATTGCCATCCTAGGGAGCTTTCTCTGAGCGGGTGACATGCCTCAGGGAGAAAATTCCCTAATTAGGGACCATTGATATGCTCTCTGTGGAAGTGGCTCTGCAGTCAGCCATGCTCTCCTCTTTTGTCTGTAAGTGCTCTTTAGGGATGTCCAGCTGTGAGGGCTTCAAGCAGCTACTCCAATGGTGGAGGTGGCTGTGGATATAGTCCCAGAGCATGGCAGCACACAAGCACAGACACCCACCCTTCCCACATCCAAAGTCAGAGTCCTATCACAGATGCCCAAATCCACAGAAGAAAGTGGCAGGAACAGATATGCTGCTCCTCTTTTCTAAAGCCAAACCACATAAACGTCAACTGCCATCTCAAGATCTGCACTTACACACATTTTTTCCTCTGGACTTTTTTTCCATGTCAATTTTCAAAGATTCTCACCTCTGCAAAAGATCCACAGTCAGTTCCAAGAGCTGCATGTATGCTAGAGAGACACTCTGTGGCAGGAGGAATTCTCCAGAGATCTGTAACAAGTCCTGACTCCAAAGGCCCTGAATGCTGATGACATGCACTACCATCCTGAACCTAAAGTGATGGAAGAAGAGCTGTGAAGCCTGCTTAGATCTGGGATAAGACAAGAATACATAAAGCAAAAAGGAAGAACATAAAGCAGAGCTCTTTCCCAAGCATACCTTTAAAAAAAAAAAAACAAACCCTTAAAACAGCACCCAGCCAAAGCAACAAAAGTTCTTGTTCAGAGAGCAAGAGGTCCCGTAAGAGGAACGATTATGGGAAGGTGAAAGAAGTGATGAACTCATCAACACACACTTGTGACTCAGGAAGGACTTCATCCAGCAAGTAGGGGCTGAAACTGATCCTCAGAGCAGCTCCCAGTCCTTCAAGTGCTCAGATAACCTCTACGACAATAAATGTTCAGCATTCTATGGAATCAACAGCCCCTGATAAAGCAGGGTGGGCTGCACAAGAGGCACATTAAGGTCATGTCTATCCTTACTGGAAGTAACTCTTGAGCTCTGCAAACCAACTCTCAATAATGCCAAGACACTCCCTGT